AGGATGGGCCAGCCTCTCACCTGTGGCTCTGGAGGGGACTCAGGGCAGGGATCTTGCTGGACCAGCAAACGTTCCAAGGAGGCATGTCCTGCAGGGTCCAGGCTGTCCCCACCTGGGGTTCATACCGTGGTGTGCTCGCTGAGGGGCAGGAACTCATGAGGGACGGAGAGGAGCCAGAGGCTGTTCTCTTCCCACCTTGTGGGAACCAGTGAGCCACCACTCATGGGATCCTCCTTTTTCCAGTCATGGGTCTGTGAGCTCCCGTGTGCATGCCTGTGATTGACGCAAACCCCAAACGTTCTTATTTTAGAATTTACCATATCGTGCTTGCCCACACGTTGAGCTGGAGCTGGCCTTACTTGTGGTAAAACATGAGCCTATCTACAATTATATTTGGTAGTTTTAAATTTGCTCTTGTGCAAGCCTTATAAACCTTTTATAGACATCGAAATAGAAATGGAAGAACTAAGCACTTGCTGGACCAAGAACAAAATGCATTTAGCTGCTTGTGAGAGGGACTGAGGACAGGGCTTCCCATGGTGGGTGCGTGAGGGGTCCCTGGAAGCCCGGCAGCTGCTGGCTGGCCCCAGTGGTTTCCTGACAGCCCTGCGTGGGTTATAAGAAATCCACTCAAGAGCAAGCTTGTGTAAGTGTGCCGTTACAGCCATAGCCGCACACAGCCTCTCAGGGGGACCCAACACATAGATGTGCCTCAGGGAAGCGTGACATATGGCTCCAACTCCATTGCTGCCTCTGGACTGAGAGGCCACTCCAGGCCTCAGTTCCCTCCTCTGTAAAGTGGACCTGAGCCCCCTGCCACCTTGGCTTACAGATCCGACGACGTGTGTGGAAGCTTGGTTGACTCTGCCAACTGCCATGCCCCGGAGACACGTAAAGTATGTCTTGCCAACAGGTTTCCCTGTTCTAGGGGTGGCTCAGGGCAGGAGGCAAAGTCTCAGGGCCAGGGAAGGGCTCACCTGGTCCCACTGATGGTGTGCTGGAGACCCTCCCGGGACACCCCATCTCACCAAGATGTGTGCTCCTGCAGAGGTGCCGGGCAGCTCCAGGGCTCGGGGAAGAGTGCTGCTGAACTAGGGGACATCTCACTGAATCGAGGGTCCTGGGGTAACTTCAAAGTGCAAGACACCCCTGGTCTATGGAGAGGCCGGGATCTCACAACTGTCATAATGAGCTGAGCTTACTCAGAGGCCAACACTCAAGAAGGAAATATGGCTATCTGTTGAAACCAGGCCCGAGTGGATAGCAGCAAAAACTCACAAAGTCCTACAGGTTCACTGTGGTAAATGGAGGAGGCAGAAGTTTACAGAATGAGGACTGCTCCCCAGGAGGCCAAGTGTGCAGGAACCTTCTGCTCTCTGAATCTGGTGCTGCGGGACACGTGTCCTCTGGCAGAGCCCTGCAGACGACGACCCTGCACCTGCCTTAGGTTTACAGCCCAACACAAAAGCCCAAGGACAGCCCAGAAATAAGTAGCCTTTAGGTTTTGACCCAAGTTCAAGATTTTGATTCTTTGATTTACACTTTATTTTAAAATAACTATAACCAGGCTACAAAAGCAGGGTTATGTCATGTGTGGCTAAACTTGCTATTTGCCTAAGCCTAAGCCCCCCGTCACGGCCGGAGACTATAGAGCCAGTGAGCAGTGAGAGCACAGGCAGGATCCCCATGCCTGTGACGAGTAAGTCCAAGGGCAGATGGAGAAGCCAAGACCCCCTGCAGCCTCAAGTCCCTCTTCCCACCAGGCTTTGTGCTAACGACGGCACTCATCTGTGAGCTGAAGATATGGGTAAGGATGAGTATCTGAATTTGGGCAAACAAGTTGTCAGTGGAATCTAGTTTGGAGCCCTGTTTGAAGAACTCATTGCCACTGCCTGAAATCAACTTTGACTTTGCTTAAATTGTCCTTGAGATGCTGAAACACCTACATCCTGGTGTCTGCACTGGACACACGTCTGAAGCAGGAAAGGGATTTCTGTTGGGAGGCATGGTCCCTAGAAAGAGCAGCGGCCAACCTCGGGGGGATTTGCAAGTGCTTTCCTGTGGCTTCTTTTAGGAAGTCTTAGAGAATGAAACTTAAAGAGAAGAAACTACCCTTTGGAACCATATAAAGCAGAGTTCTTGCCAAAAATTCACTTTAATTTGCATGGTTTTGTTGTTTTTTGACTTGTGGCCTCAGCGTCACAGCCAGGGACTCCTCCCATGGCCCTGGGAGGCGGGTTGGGGGAAGGTGTGTAGAGCTGTCCTGGACCCTGCCTCTGAGCACCTGTGGTTTCCCCTGCATCCCTCCCGCCTCATTCCCCACAACTGAACTGGCTCTACATCGGTTGAATGAGGGACCAGAGAAAGTAGTGTTCTGGTGTTTGAATAAGATTCATGCACACATTACATTTTAATATGTTTTCAATTTACATACCGTACACAATCAGACACAAAATTATTGATTTCTTATTAAACTATTGCACATCCGTTGCTACAGATAAGAACTAAGCACAATGTTAACTCAGGAAGTCAAAGAGCTTTGAGGGTCCAAGACCTAGGGTACACCTGGTGAGATTCATCTTGTATAGTAAAGAGTATCCTGTTAATGGCCAACTAAAAAAATTCAGTGATGGAAATGACAAGAGGAAAACTCCCAGAAAACTTCACGTGTCATCTGATGCAAAGAGAGGACTTCTTGAGGGAATGGGACCTGCTGCCTAACAGGTCTCCATGAACCACTACAGGGCTGCCTTGTACCCTGAGTAGGGACTCTGCTGGTCTGCTCAGGTGGGAGGCTGCTGTAGGAACTGATCAATCTTTAAAACATGCATATGAAGAGAGGTTCATTGGAAAGGGCTTGAGTGTGAATTACTCTCCAGGAAACGGTTATACATCCTCTGCTCAGGAAAGCCCCAGCCGAGCTTTCTGACTCCGAACACAGAAGAGATGAGCTCACTGGCTAAAATGTCAAAGGCAAAGATCATATTTTGATCCACGGTTTCCTCAGTTTGAAAAGACATCAGCATGTGAAAATGGGCCACTCAAGCATGAACTCCTTATAGAAGGCACTGAATGGAAATTCTTAGTTTTGAAGATCCATTAATAGAAATAGATCATTTCAGAAAATAATCTGAGTTTAGATTTCCTAGCAAGGATCAAGCAAAGGGGAGCTTATTTGCAAAGACAGGTTTGGAACTGCATGTCTCTCCCCAGGCAGCAAGAAGGTGTTGCCGGGCCTGTGCTGCTCTGGAGGACGCGAGAGCGAGAACCACCACAATACCTCCCCAGTGGGGCGGGGTGGGGGGGGAGGAGAAGAGGGAAGGTGGGGACTGCAGAAGCAGGGGTCTGCAGGGAATTTGGGATTAGGATCAGTTTCCAAGCCCAGCACTAAGGGAGAGAAGCCAATGCAAGTGCATGGTCAGAGACGGCTCTGGGCTCGGGGCTGAGCACGAGCAGTCAGAAGAACACAGATGCAGCAGCACCCAGGCTGCTTTCTGGTCGACAGCTGGTCTGTGGGAAATGGAGATCTGCCCACGTTTTGCACAGTACTCCTCATCAAGAAATGCAAAGGAAGGACTGTTGTCACATTCTGACGTGAGGCCAGGGTCCAAGTGCAGTGAGTCACTGTGGGCCACGAGGAAAGTGTGGTCCCCACCGGGACAGGAAGAGGCCTGGGCAGGGTGTGGTGAATGGCTGCTGCTAAGGCTGTCCGCTCTGAGGTGCCACCAGGCACTGCTCTGGACCAGGCTATGGACTGCAAGGTAAGAGGAAGCCCTCCAGGGCTCACAGTCCATGAAGAGCGCTCCGAGAGGCGTGAGGCGCAAGGGCTAGTTCAGGAAGTCACTGAACATGAGCAGGTGGTCTAGGGCACTAGGGCCTTGGACAGGGATCCTGCAAGAAATGACAGGGTGTGAAATGACGGCCTGCGCTCTGTGGAGCCTGGTCTGTGGCCAGGACTGCTGGGAGGATGGACACGGGTAAAACAGCCTTTTCCTGGAGTGGGCACAGCCTTTCCAAACAGAAGGGAGATCAAGAACCCTGTCCTGAGGTGGGGTATCAAAGGGGACACACAACTGCCCAGGTGCCTGGCTCTCATCACGTGTGGACTGTCCCGTCTGTCCTCACAAGCACCAAGGACCACCTCACAAGAGGCCTGGCGGTCTCACACACCCTCAGGACTCGCCCCTGCTCCTCCCATGTCCTGTCTGGGCCTGGAACGTGCCCTGGGGAGACTCAGAGAAGGAAAGCCTCCGTGGCTGGTGCAGATGCTGGTGGTTGCAGTTTTGCAAGATTCATGCTTGAAAGTCACAGGCTTAGGGGACGGGGAGGCAGGACTGCTGGACAGTGTGTGAGCGTATGCAGCGTGACGGCAGGACTGCACAGATTCATGCAGCATCATCCTGAGCAGCACTAACTCACAACAGTACCGGTGTCTTATGGAACTAGTACGGCAGACTTCTCCTTTGGGCTACTGAAGTATGCATACTTTGAGTAATTATATGAATTTTTGAGTTTAAAAGCTTAACTTTTTTTCTTTTTTTTTTTTAGTTGTATATGGACACAATGCCTTTATTTTATTTTTATATGGTGCTGAGGATCGAACCCAGTACCTTCCACCAGTGAGGCAAGCACTCTGCCACTGAGCTACAGCCCCGGTCCTTAACTTTTCTTTTTTAAACTACAATCACTTCTAAAAGTTTGAGTACCTCTGAAAAATTTTCCTTGCAGGTGCATGCATACCTGAAGATAAGACCCGTGCTTCAGACAATTCTAGATAGGAAGGATGTGATGTGAAAGAACTAGAGATGCATATAAGGGAACATGGCGGAGGGATCTTCCAGAAATGTGCTGAGCCCGAAGCCCTATCCTGTGCACTAAATATGGCACTGGTACGCACCGGTGGCTCCTTCAAAGCATTTTCTTTTCAAATGACACATCATTTTTTGTGAACTACTGAATGAATAGGTTTTTAAAAGAGAATTGTTTTCATTAAAGCTTACTTGAGTTCTTGTGAACTGGTGGCCAGCATACTTCGAATGCTTTTGTCAGCCAGTGGGCAGCCGGACAGACTGTAAGACAGGCCAGGGAGGGCAGGTGAGTGAGCCTCTAGGCAGTGGAATCGCCCGAACGAACACAACATACAGTCGAAATTAAAAAGTTCAATGCAGAAGAGCAATGGGGCAAGTGCTGTATATTGAATTTTTTGTATCATTAATTCTGAATATGTACAAATGTAAATTTAAGAAAACATTTCTGTTAAGAAGCATTTTTTTTTTAAATTGTGCTTTTAGGTTTAAACGTTTGAGAAGAATTTTGCGAATTTTGGCAGTTTGAGATTAAAAGACATTATACAACACATAAGTCAGCATGCTTTTGAAGGTCAACATAGAGCACTTAGGGGTCAACACAGAATCAACGTTGGTACTTGACAGCATTGTTGAGGTAAGCTGAAAACAATAAATTGAAGACAGAATCCACCATGAGAGAATGAAGCCACACCTTCTGTGTGAGGCGTAATTGCCAGTCACATGACCACTCCCATCACACCCCGGAGTTGGACATCTGCCACCAAACAAAAACAGAACAGCCAGAACAGTAAGTACGTTTAGAAAACTTCCAAAGAGTTTCATTGTTTCCAGTTTAGCTGCAATGTCTGCAAGGGGATTAAGCACCCTGAAGGACAGCTGGGAAGTGCACAGGATCAAATGAGATGACGCTTCCGAACGACAGAGCATCATTGAGAACCACCAGGCACAGGTCAGCCTCGCGCCTACTGACTGGCAGCTGGAGACGCCGGGTGCCGCGAACGCGCATGCTCAAACGGCAAGGCGGGTGCAGACCGGTCTTTAGAAATAAGCCAAAGGAAGGGAGGACTGAGGAGAGTCGGAGTTTCACCTCGCGTCATGCTTACGTTATTAGGTCCTTTTTGCTCTCCTTGCACTGGGGGTACTTGGGCTTGGGGCTCGGGATGGTCACCTCCCCAGGGTACCTTCTTTCTTCCAGAGCCTCCTGGAATGGGTCCAAGTCTTCTGGCTGTAGACAGAACACAGACAGCTTCAGAGCCAACGCCGGAACTCAGAGCAAGGCCAAGAAGGGCCCACACCTGCTGGGCTCCTGCTCTGCTTCCCCACCTCTTCTCCCACAAATTCATAACCCAGCGCTTCTTTTCCCTGACAAGGCTCCTTCTGAAAAAGCAGACTGCCCTGTGCACAGCTGCTCTAAATTTCAAAGTCTATGGTAAACTGCCAGTGGTCAGAGCCCCTACTCAGTCTCCTGCTGGCCAAACTGCAGCAGGACTCACAGCCAGTGTGGCAGCTGGGGGTCTCTCTCATCCAGTACCCAGGGGTGCCTGCTGTCCACCGCTGACACTGCACTGCTACTCAGCACTACGTCATTGGTGAGTGTTTTAGTGTATGTGCCTTTAAGTCTCAGTCGATGGAAGACAACTGTGCGAATGTGATCTTAAACTGCCTTTGGGCAGCATTTTCTGAGAATACCTGTGTTTAGTTGCGTCCACTTGCAGTAACCTATGAGTCCCTATAGGTGGCAGCGCCGGCAGTTGGTGCCCTCAATTCACACTGCACAGCTCTGTTCCTCATAGGACCTACAAGACGAGAGTTTTTGTCCCTGTATGGGAGCTTAATTCTAATTATAATAAATTTGGGGATTCAAATACAGTGTATTTTTTTTGGTAGTAATGATTTAACATTGCAGGAGAGAACAACAATTTTTTGGAATTTAGCTTGCCAACCAGATTTGATTTTTTTCACAATGTCTAGATGCTTAAATCAGTTTGAGGAATAAACACAATAGACTTATAGGCATGTGGCTTCCCTGTCAATTCCTTCATGGAGCTAATATTTCTTTTCCCACCTCCTTGTTTCTGTAAGACACGATTGCTTGGTGGGGGTTCATTTTGTAGGAAATAAAGGAGAGTCTAAATATGCATGAAAAAATCCAATAAAGAAAAATAATCCTTCCTTCCTTCCTTCCTCTTTTAGCCTCTTATATCCACTTTAATAACCTGAATTTGAAAATTCAAGTTCCTTCAACAATACGTTCTTGACAAGGGTGTCATATTGTCCTAACAAGGCTGGGTGATTGTGCACTCAAGGCCAGGCACAGTCCTCTGAGGTTGCGTGTCTTGGAGAGGAGCCCTGTCCTTCGCTTCAGAGAGCAGGCGGGCGGCATCGGCTGCCTCCCACACTCACTGCTCATTGCCAGCCTCTCCTAGCAGAGAAACCTGAGCTTCTGCTTTGACAAGGAACTAGTGCTGCCTGTGCCTGTCCCCAGGGCAACGTTTGTAGCAAAGCTCACTTGTCAGGAATACAATGTAAGAGTCAACAGTTTGTTTCCCCCAAGCCGGTATGCCACCATCTCTTTCAGGTCAGGGAGAAGTGTCCCTACCTAAATCCTAGGCAGCTGAAAGCCATATTTAAAGAAAAACTGGGCTTTTTTTGAAGGGTGTGCAAATGGCATCTGCTCTCAGCCAAGCCTACTCCAGCCTCTCAAAGATCACAGCCAGAGCCAAGAGAAGGGACAAAGGACATACGGCCATCTCTTTGGGATCATCCTCGTCCACCCGTCGGGGCTTCATCTTGGTGTAGTCCACTGGCAAGTCCCAGCAGTCGCCCTCGCTGAGCTGGAAGCACCGGCTGCTCATCACTGCCTGCTGCTGAGGGGACATGGGCTCCAGGGGCGTCAGGACAGGGCAGCAGCTATCCCGCGGCCTCTGTTTGTTCATGCTGAGGTCCAGGGTGCCATTCTCATCCACGTCCATGTCAGGGTTCTGTTGGCAGAGAGACATGTGACAGCCGGGCCTGAGCACTTGGGACATCCCATCCTGTGCGCCCAGACTGTGGCCCTGCCCTCAGCAGTGTCATGTTCACCCCCAAACTCCTCATTACTGTCACTCCCAAGGCAGGCCAGCTTGGTCTGATGGCCATGTCAGCTACCCCGGGCTTACCTGGAAAATTGTGTGGAGACTGATGAATGGATCTGTCTCTCCATTTGACCTTTTCCCTATTTTTCTGCCATCTTTCCCCCCTCCCTCTCTTTTCCCATTCCCTCCAGTGCATCTCTGCTTTTAGAAATGAGCATGGCCATAAGAAATTCAAAGAAGTTCTTCTTTTTGATGTCATTAGAGTTCAAATGCCTACAAGATCAAAAATGTGTGTGTCTCTCCGTGTGTATGTCTGTGTGCGTACATATCAGCTTATGAACTTTCCTTTAGTTTCATTGATGCCAATGTTTCAAGAATTAGGAGGAAAACGAAAGACTCAAGGATGAAGGAAGGAGGGGAAAGGAACTGATTTTCTTTCTGAACCCTGTGCAGTGCTGAGGACTCTGCTTGCAGAGGTGTGCGGCGCAGCCTGGCACAGGGCTGGGTCTGACCTGCACTATGTGTCAGCGCCCTGCACTGCAGCCAACTGCCCAGGAACAAACCAGAGAGGTGCGTTTCAAGGTAAGAATGCTTCAGGGAGATGAGGCTCCTTCCCACCTGCAGGAGGAGGGGGAGAGGGGCCCATGGAGGGCAGAAATGTCCCCAATAATTCTCCACTTTTCTGGCAGAGTTACACTTTTTTGGACAAAAGTGTGATGTCAGAGATGGAGTGAAACTGCTGCCTGCCAGGAAGGACCCAGCAGCACTTCCCTCTGAATGTCATTGCCAAGGAGGATCCACCACTGGGAGTCCTGGACTGAGGCTGTCCCCGGTATGTGTCCAGCATCATCCTGCCTAAGAACATCCTGATCTCAAGCTCTGATACTCATTTTGGCTGACATGATGTTTGAGTTACTCTCTTAGTTTAAGAAAGTGAAAACTAAACTAAAATAGAAGTTTCTGTCTTGCCCCGGAGGAATCTTTCATGGGAGTCTTGCATTTTATCAGCCCTGATCACATGAAAACTGCACGCCCCTAATGCTGCTCCACTACTAGGAATAAAAATATCAAAAAGAAAAAGCATTTGCAAAACGTAAGATTACTGACCTTTCTCCATCCACACAAATTATAATACTCATTTATAAGGACTACTGTCAGAGCTGTTAGCGAACGCAGCATGGCCGATTGGCTTTAGGTAATGGAGAGAGCGCCCTTTGTCTATCAGGAGAGTGGCTGACATCCACAAGCCAGAGCCTGCGCTCAGAACACAATGGGCCACTCCCTGGCAGCCGGGCTGTCGCCGGCCCCCTAGCGGCCCGGGCGAGACAGCTCTCCATTCTGCCGTGTGGGAGCGCTCCCTCTCCTCTCTGAGCACACGTAGGAGCCCTTTGGTGAGGAAATGAACAGTAGGAAAGCCGGTCACCCCTGCGCTCCCTTCCAGCATCTGTGACAGTGTGGACTAGCAGCGCCATGTGACTTGCTCCCGGGCCATCAATTGGAAATGTGGCTGAGGGGCAGCCCGCCTCTATTTGATAAGGGTGCTGCCAAACCTTCCTCCCATTTAACGTCAAGGTGCTTTGCTCTTTGAGTTCTCTGTGAGGTCATCTGAAACGCCACGAAGACTTTTGATGTTTGAGTTACTTTTGAGTAACTCAGTAACATGTGGGACACAGCTCAGAGTTTACAGAACCGATTTTCCACCCTAAAGACGGAGAGGCCTGGCGATTTCTCCTGACCTAGAGCACATGGGTCTCCTGGGCAGTGGTGCAATGGGCAGCTGGAGCCGCGCGGCGTCACTGCTCAGGTGAAGGACGTGCCGCACCTGCAGAGCGCCCCCGCGCGGCTGCAGCGCAGCTGGCTCTGTGCGGTTGCGCGAGCAGAAGCCCCGCCTCCCGGGCCCGCCCGCGGCCAGGCGCAGGTGGGCGTACCCGCGCGGCACACAGGTCCTGTGGCTTGGTGGACAGGTTCTGTGGCATCTCGCGGCAGCGCGTGGACAGGTTGAGGATGGCGGCGGCCGCCATGTGCGCGGCCTCCACGTCGTGCGTGTAGTCGAAGCTGCTCTTGCTGCACGTGCTGCTGGCGCTGCTGCCGCCGCCGCAGCTCAGGTTGCTGCTGCTGCTCGGCGCGTAGCTGCTGGTGGTGCTGCTGCTGGGGCTGGCGGTCTTGCAGTACCGCTTCGCTGCGGAGACAGCGGACAGGACGACTCAGGCCCCGAGCCCAGGACGCGGGGACACACAGCTCCCCCGCCGCCCCCGCCCGCGCATTTAAACACACAGCGATGGGGAACATGACGTGGGGGCTTCTTTCCCTTTTTAACATTGCATGTGTTCGGTTAGCAGAGGACTGGGGTGAGCTGGGAAAGGACGCACCCTTTTCTTCAGCAGACTGCACAGACATGCGTGGCAACTTCCCCTCCCTGTAAAGGAACACCCCTGGCTTGGATCTGGCCACAGATAGTGACAGTTCCAGTCTGGTCAAGGCTTGAGGAACCAGCTTGTCTGGGGGTGGGGACTTCCACAGATCATCAGCTGGGGTGGGGGATATCGTAGTGGTCAGCTTGGGCTCCGTGTCCCACATGCAGGTGACTCAGATTCAAGGGCGATATGGGGATCACCTGTTGGGGTTATGGAGACCCTGTGCTTTGGGAAATGGATTTTTGGCTGGGCATGCAGACTGGACAATGTGACCCAAATAGCCCTTATCCTAGACATCCCATACAGGCTGTGGAGGGAAAGGTAGAATATCACACACACCTGTGGCCCTGGATCAGGGTAAGTGTCAAGACACCCCTGACTGGCTGCTGGGTGTGCAGTCTGGCACTAACCCTTTATGTCAGCAGCCTCTCCATCTGCCTGCAAGGAGCCTGGACTTCTCAGTGTCCCTTAGGAACAGCTGTCTTCACTAACAGCAGGCAGTAGGAAAGAGAGCTATTTTTAGAGCCCCTTAAAACCTCCTTTAGTACCAGGATGATAAAATGTCTGAGTCGATCATGTATTAGGATTGGGACCTTTTCCTACTAACACAGTATCACTGCCAGGATGTCAGAGTGCGTTCATTTGTGTGGGTGCATGTATCCACCTTATATCCCGTGGAGTGAGGAGTGACCCTGCAGGGTGTCTGCAGACCCCCGTGGAGCTAGACTCTGCAGGTGCCTTCACCCTCCCTCAGGAGCTTCTCCTGTCTCCAGCTGCCATGGTCAGCCCTAGGCAGGCTGCCCTAAGAGCAGCTTGGCCTGCGTTCTGTTGTGCCTGGCCCTCCATGGCAGAGCAGAAGGCTGTGTCTCTAAAGAGGCCACCACCATGACCGTGGCTGCCAGGGAGCCTTGCAGCTGGACACTGTTCCCTGGTGGTTGGCCTCCAGAAGCCCTCCGTCTAGAACTCAAGTGCAGCGCCTTCCTCCAGAGACAACCCTCACAACACACCCTCTCACACAGCTGAGCCATCTTCCGAGCAATACCAAGACCCTCCCCAGGGCACCAACTGGGAGGCACAGGAGGGATAGGCTGAGGGGTCGTGGCCGCTAACTAAGGGCTGACTAGAGAATGCACACTCAGGACACTGGGGACGAGGTGCATCCTGGGTGACAGGATGAGGCAGTGGAGACCAGAACCCAGAAGGCAAATTGGCCACCTCACTCTTCTCAGCCTCCTGCCCCAAACCACAAAGCAAATTGCTTTTGTTAGTGGCTTGCGCACACAGCCTCTCTGCTGTGAGCCTGAGGTCGGGCTGTCACACGCCCCAGAAGGGCAGACTGTCCTCTCTGTCGTGCGCTCTGCCCAGCACTGCCCTGGGAACAGCTCCCACATGGGTAGCTCAGCATGCCCAGAGGGCAGTTGCCTCCCATGTGGTCTCCTCCCTCTGCTTTCTGAATGCTCTTTACTAAGTAGCAGAACTGTACCCCAGGGTGGGCCTGCTACAGGTCTAAGAGCAGCCTTGCCAGGCCTCTGAGGGCGGCCACCCTGGGCACATGTGGGAGCAACCAGAGGGGCCTGACAGTGGCCACCAAAGTCCTCAGTGTCGCTGCCTGGGGTACTTTGGGATGCTCTGGATGTGGACTAAAGTTCTTGATTTTCATCATTTAGAATTTTGTTAAAAATAGGGTTATGGAAACTAGGGGAAATGAAATAATATATACTAGGGACAGCTTTTCCCTTTTAATAATCTGATGAAGGCTAGCTATTGGTTCAGGAATGAGAGAAGAAGTGGTCCAGGTAAACAGGAAAAACAATTGCTTTGTTTTGAAACTAGATAATGTCAATTTCTAAAAAATGCTCAAGGACCAACTTGGGTCTACAGTTCAACAGCAGCTAGTGCTGGGGGCTGTGGCAGATGTGGCAGGCTTGGGAGTGGCTCTGCTCAGCGCTGGCCTGGGTCCTCAGGCAGGAGAGTGGTGCAGGGTAAGGGGAGCCGGTTGCTGCCTCCTGGGTGTCAGCTCCATCCTGCTGTCTGCCTGTGTCTCGGTGGCCACACTGGGTACCACTGCCGTCTACTCACAGGGCTCTCTAACGTGACTCCTCTAGCCCACCACCTCCTAGTGACATGCTGCTGCGTGCCCACCTCAGAGATGTGGAAACCAAGGCTGACCAAGGGCAAGACAGACACACAGGGGAGAGCCTGGGCCACAGTCAGGGCGCAGGTCGCCTGGTCTTATCAGCCTTCTGTCTGTTAGACAGTGCTACATGTACAGGGCAGCAACCTTTAAAGGGAGTCTCTACCGTGACTGCACTTCTACTCTTGCCTTACTTGGATTGCCTGAAATCATCCTGAAGTCCTGAATGTCAGCAGGAGGGAGCACCTCCCACCCAAGTGTCTAAACCTCAGACGCCACATCTGGGTTATACCAAGAGCATAGTTTACAATTGTATCGGGCAAGTAAACTGTCAATAATTTCTTGATTCACCCGTCAACTCATTTCACTCAAATAATTATGACAATATTTACCTCATATCTATCCTTCTACTGAACATAAACAATTTTTTGTGTTTATTCAAAACAAAAATAAGAATATCTATACTTTAGATCATTCAAGAAAGGAAGGATCCTAATATTGCCTATTTGTGAATGTCCACAAATCCCTTAGCATCAATACATGTGGGCCGAACTTAACATGCTCTGAGTCATGATGCTGACTCTGGTGCACTGCAGGGCAGGGGCAGGGAGCACTGGCCACTGGTAGTCCCCAACTTCTTCTCCCCCAGGACTGACCAAGCCCTGCTTTGTCAGATGAGAGCAACCTAACAGAGATCAAATGCATGGCAAGTAACAAACAGATTTTGTTTTTGATGTCAGGGATCAAACCCAGGGCCTTGTACATGCTAGGCAACTGCTCTACATTGAGCTACACTCTCAGTCCCAGATATATTTTAAATCCAGCTGCTTTTCCATCAAAGAGCAGACAGCATTTGCTAAGATCCTGGGTGCCCAGCTGACTTCGGGAAGGCATGAGGAACATTATCACATCCCCCCAGAAGGCACCAGGTGTTGATGGCCCTGACCACCACTTCTCCTAGCATCCTGTCCCTGTATGCAGGAAGAACTACACAATCACCACGCCTAGGATTAATTATGGCTGCATATGCAAATTAAAAACCCCAAAGCAAACAAACACAGACTTCCCACCAGAGCTTCTTCCTGCCTACTCTGTGTGTGTAGCTTCTTTCTGAACATGCGCAGCTTATTCTCCTAGGAGTGTCTGTTTCCTTGTGCATTAGCATTTGCGTGCAGGGAATAGATAAATATGCCCTTACAACCCCGAATTTCCATGAAAACTAGACAAAAAAAATGTGAGCAAAGGATATCTATCATGAGGTCTCACTTCCACCAGACCTCACCAGGAGCTGGTGACCTTGAGGCCTGCCTAGTCCATCTGACCTTCCACATTGTGATCTGCAACCCTGGTGCTCAGAGCTTTTACTGTGAGCACGTAGTTCACCACAAGCACATTAAAATGTGGATGCAGACTCTTATATGGGAAAAAGGAGCCTTTTTGTCAAATAGCTGTTAGATAAAGCCTGCAATGCAGATGGTGTGCTTACAGGGTCTTGGAGACATCTCTCTGTGGTCACCCTTCACGTGGCTACTCCCTGCCTTATCTGCCCTGTACCTCACAGGAGACCCACGCACAAAGCCTCTTGCACACCAGAAACTTATAGCCTCGTGGGAAGATAAGATATTTAGGGGTGAAATGACCCAGGGATGAGAAATGGAGCTACCCTGTGGGCTGCAGAGAGCAGGAGTACATCCCGCCCAGGAATAGGGGAGGGCCTCACAAGAGGCTGGGAGGTCCTCGGAGAAGGCAGCAAAGGAGGTGCTCTGGAGTAAGGCAGGGGGTGGGTGACCGGAAAAGGGCCAGGGGAAGTCTTCCAGGTTGCAGGAAGGAGAACCAGCTCCAGAGGAACTCTGGAGCAGGGGGGCTGGGGCCGCCGGGGCCGCCAGGGCCACTGGGTCAGATATCTGATGCCCCCACCTTGGGACTCCTGGGGCCAGAGGCCTGGACCAGGGAAGAGGTCAAGACAGCACGTGAGGAGGTGTTTGTGGAGTGGAAGAGGAGGCTCCAAGATGACTTCAAGATCTGGGCTTAGAGAATTTAAAAGCTGGGAATAGCCAAAGGATCAGCCACAGAGGGGAACCCACGTAGGCTGGGGACTTAACAGATTTCAGGACATCTTGGGTGGTAACATGCTGTCCAGAGGTGCCACAGAGGTGGCTTAGATCCAGGTCAGCAGCTTTTCCTGCAGAGGTCTCTGCAGTGACCGTTGGATTTCCTGGTGGCTAAGTGCTCACTGTCCTGGCTCCTCAGCTCTGCCCCTGTCCAGCAGCCCAGCTTGCCCTCTCATGGGTGAGCACGGGGGGCCACTTGGACAGATTTAATGAGGTTTAAATTTCACATAGATTTTACATTTCATAGGATACTCCCCTTATTTTGTTTTATTTCTCCAATTATTTAAAAATGTTCAAACCATTCTTAGCTCACCATAGGACACAGGTGGGGAGGATGGGCCTAGAGCCCTGGAGTGGACATGCGTGGGGTGCTGTGGCCTCCACACTGTCCCTCCTCCATCACCCATGGGCTCCCTACAGGATGGCACTGACCTCTCCAGCATGATAGATAATAAGAAGCTGTTTGGTACAGCTCCCTGGTTGAGCCCTGCCTTCCTCCAGGATCCCCAGACCCTTGACTGTCCTCATGAACCACAGGTGTCCCCAGCTTCATGCCATTTCTCCTACAACTCGAGGACGGAGTGTGCAATCTGCCCCTTTGGTGAAGCTCACCCAAGCCTTCCAGACAGAAGGGAGCCCTTGCCTCACTGTGTGTCGGGGCCTTCCACAGCCTTGTGTTGGTCTATCACATCCTCTCTGAAACCTTCTATCCAGAGGAAGCATCATCAGCTGAGAGGCCACCAGCCACTGGCAGTGTCTGGGGAGGCAGGGCGTAAAGGGAGGTTTGCTGATTGCGTTAACCACAGCTGGCAGGTTTGGGGGATGCCCCGAGGCTGGGGAGGGTGGACTCCTCTCTGTTCATTCTGCACCACCAGGCCCTGCTCTGTTCCCTAAGAATCACACTTTTCTACAGCAGGCTGATGCTGAGGCTTCTTCAGGGAGCAGTGTCTGCATGCTCTGTGCCCAGGTAGCCAGACTGGGAGAACACTGTGTGGGCACTGCAGCATCCACCCAGGTGAGGGTCACCTCCTGGTGCAGGTGCGAGGACCATGCCCAGCTCCAGCCCTACACAGCTCCACCCAGCACTCTTGCCACAGTGGGCACTTCCTTGACCTTTCTAAGATCTTCAGGTGAACCCAGCAGACCAAAGGTTGAGCTGTCTACTTGGTTCTCAGTAAATTGTGCTAACGTGCTGTTTCCTTTTCTCTTGGTTTCCGGAGGACCTGGGCCTGAGGTCCCACCCTGCATCGTCAAGAGGGTCTTGTTTTCTGGTGGAGCCATGAAAAGAATGGGTCAGCCTGATTTTCCAACAACAGGCATTGCCCGGGCTTGTGAGTGAGCACCTGTGATTACTGTGTATTCATCCCTCTCTCTTTGACGGGCAGAGGGTGGGCAGACACAGCCTTCTCTCTGCTGACTCTCCCACGGCTGGAACCACACCTAGCCCTACTCTACTCTCCAGACAAGGAGTGAGTGGAGCTGCACACTGTGGGCCTTGCGCCAGTCTGCTCCAGTGTTACGCAGCTAGAACCGCAGGCCCAGAGAGCCCTCCAGCTCCCGGAGGGGTACACACCTCGAGGACACTCTGCCTGCCTCGACTTTACTGGAGCCCCTGTATGCTAAGGTAGAGCCCTGGCTGCAGAGACAAGGTTAAAGAAACCAGGCCACAGAGAGCAGCCACAAAGTACATGGTAAAAATGCGCCTCTCAGGAAGGGACTAGTTCAATCACTGAGAGCCCGCCGGGTTGGGAAGGATTCCCAGAGCATCTTCAATTATGTGAATGACATTTCGTTTTGACCCTTCACTTGCAATTGAATGAATGAGATCACAACAAATCCATGACTGGTGAATATTACCAAATAAACAGTAAAACAAAGTAACTATCTTTATATCCACTGTAGCCATTCCCTTTTCCTACTTACATCTAGGTTTCTGAATATTGAGGAATTATATGCAGGGATAATCAATGTGTGACACATCACAGGAATGTTAAATTCTACCCACTATACAAACAAATGGCCATTTAGGTAAGAAGTAGCACAGCTGAAAAGCAGGAAGCAACTTCTACTGGATTTAAAAAAGGTTTCTAAATTTCCTCAGTATTCAATTTAAATATTTTTTTCACATACATGTTGTGATTTTAATTAAATGCCTTTTTCAGAGAGAAACCCCCAAACCTTAAAAAAACTACCTTTGTTCCTCTGCCTATGAGCACCAAATCATCAGAACTTCATACCCTGAGTTCAGAGGGCAAGATTTGCTGAATATATTCTAGAATTTAAAGCAGCTACCTGGAGGCTGGGGTTGGGACTCAGTGGTGGAGTGCTCACCTAGCATGGGTGAGGCACGGGGTTCGATCCTCAGCACCACATAAAAATATATAAATAAAAATAAAGGCATTGTGTCCACCCACAATTAAAAAAATACTTTTAAAAAACCCAGCTACGTGGTCAGAGAAGTAGGTAAAATAAAAGAAATAGAGTTGGCCCTCGGGGGTGAGCTACTTACCAGTGAGCTAGCTGGGAGACAGAGGACAGCCAGCTCTCACCCCGCACAGTGCTCAGGGGCACGTGGGTCTTGCTGCATCAGTGCTAGGACAGCAGCAAGCGCCCAGGACGTCAGACCAGGCAGCACCCGGAGGCTGGCCCTTTCCTCCGCCTGTCCTCCCAGATAGACGAGGCACAGGTCCAGCAAGAGCTGGCCAGGTGGAGGTTGTCAGACGTGGCTGCACATCAGAGCCATTGGGAACCTTCTAGAAATACCACTGTGCAGGGAACACCAGGGATCCAGATTAATTGGTCTGGGGTGCAGCCTGGGCATAAGGAACGGAGGAAAGCCCTCTCCTCCGTGACTCTAATGTGCACCCAGGGTTGAGGGGGCTAAAGGAATGCAGGGCTTCTCCAGGAGCCCCACTGCTCTCTCCCACATGGTCTGTCTGGGGCATCTATTAAAAAGAGGTGTCCTCCCTCACCCCGTGAAATCAGGGAGCTTCTCTCCACATCCCACAAGCTACAGAACCTATTGTTTGGAATTGCTGGGGACACTTGTCCTCGTTCTTCCCACAGTTTTGACCCTCTACCCTGAGGACCTGGGCCTCTCAGCATGGGACCGTGCTGTGCACATCATGCTTGGCACCCTGCATGGCCACCAAGGCTGGGCAGATCTGCGGACATGGATACACACAACAACAACATCAGCATGGCAACGTGTCTCTCATGTATAAGATGTGCACCTCCTACCATCGTCATATCCTTTGGGGGATATGTCCCTGGTTTGCACCTTGGGAGCTATGGCTCTCTTGCCATAAGTATGGTTGTCGTAACTGTTGTACTCAAACGAAGTCTTGGAATATTTCTCGAGCTCCTTGGCCAGGTTGGAGCGCGGCGTGGTTGTGGGGACATTGTTTCTGTAGCCATACTGAGGAATCTCGAGCTGCTTTACAAAGCACATTGGCCTGGAAGTAAACAAGACAACAGACAAGAGCTTGCTTTCTCGCGGCCGTGCACGTGGGTAGCAACATCGCGTTTCCTACAGGTGTCAGGGAGTGGGGGCCTTGCACCGAGATCACAGGTTCATTTTCCCATGCAAGGGCAAAGTGTGCTTTGATCACACAGCCCCAAAGAAGCCACCTGCCTAAAAGTCCATGCAGAAGAAAGAACAAGAGATCAGGTCCCTAAATGTCCTGCGTGCTCTCAGCAGAGGACCGGGGTGCAATGGAGATGTGAGGTATGAGGATGAGGCAGGATCGGACACCCAGGTCTGGTCTTGGCAGTGGTCACAGAAGAGTAGAGCTACACAACCGTGAGACACTGAAAAACTTCCCTTAAAAACAGGAGGAAATAAAGAAATACTCTTAGAGACACAGACCGGGACAAAACTAGATTTTTCAAGCTGGACGATAAAACTGAATGGGATCAGACATTTTGTCAACTGTCTGTGTACTCTTTCAGTACTTCAGCCAGTAGACGTTTCTTTTAGACTTTGGGATAAAATATTTAAATGGAGAACGTTTGGTCACTGTCTGTCTACTCATGGGTCCTCTGCCCATGCTCTGTGTGTGTCTGTTGGCAGGCGTCCATCTCAGATGTGGAAGCCTTGGGCTTTGACTATGTCTTCTTAGCCTTGTGGTGAAGTACAAGGGCTCCTTCTGCCCTCTCCCCAACTTCTGCTTTGGGTGGAGGGCAGAAGATCATACACTTACACGTGGAGTTCTACAGTCCAGTCAGCCTTTTTCCCTAAGGCAGAATATTTGGATGAATTCCCACATAAGCATTGTTTTTGTGCCCTGTATGACTCTTGTTAAAAAGTGAATTCCAAGGACAGAGACTTTCCTGATGATTCTTTCTCTTTCTGAATTTTGTGAAAACATTTTTAAAAATAAAGACCCAAGAAAGGCTGATGCTTCAGTAGGAATAAAGAAGATGGGGGGAATATATGCATCGGCCCTGAGAGAGACCGTGTCTGGCACAGGGTGCTGGGTCTGCAAGGCTGGGTTCCAGCACTGGCACGGAGCTCTGAGGGTGCGGGCTGGTGTCTGCAGTGGGGGACCCCGGCTGGCTGCCTGGGGTGGAGACCTGAGGGTGGGTCTGCTCTCTTCCCCAAGCTGTCTCCCCAGGGGTTGCCGGCATGGCTGGACCTCTCCTCTACAGCCTGCCTCCCTTCTGGAAGTTTGTGTGTGTGAATATGCACATGGTCTCTACTGGCCATTGGGGTAGAAACTTCCAAATTATTGTTTTGCTTTTCATGATTGTGAAAGTACCACATGATTCATTTGAAAAAATGTTTAGAAAATACAAGAACTATTTAAAAATCATCAATGATTCTTTGAGAGATGAAAAACTGTAACAATTTTGGTGTATTTTTGGTTGAGTTGATGCATTTAGTAGTTATCTAACAGTTAAGACATAAAATTTATACATAATTCACACTCTATCTTACATGGAATTTACTTTTACTTTTTTAGGCTTTGAAAAGAGTTCTTAAGTGCATATTGAAATCAATCAATAACATACTATTAACTATTTTCCAACTTTTAGAAAATTTTTTGTTATCATAAATTCTGACTCAATATGCTTTCATGTACAAATCTATTTCTTCTCTGGTCATTTCATGAATTTATATTATTTTTTAGAGCAATTACAAAGTTTTGATAGCTGGATTTTTAAAAAAGGAAAGCAAGCCAATTTCTATGTTGCTAAATAGCACCTATGTCACTTTTAATGACATAATATGGTAAAATACCCAATTTATTTACCAAATTACCAACTTATTTATCTTGATTTATCTAATTTATACTGATTGAGGCAAGAAAATTATGTACCAGTGATTGGTCATCTATTCTGGGGCATTTTGCCAGGTAACACTGGGATTGCCTATATGGATAAGGCCCTGGAGCAGGGCTTTGGGGGTATGGAATGCTTTTGTGGGGTTTGGGAGAAGAGAGGCCCTTCTGGCTATGGGGATCAGCTGAGCTGTGATGGAGAAAGCGGTGTTTGAGGGAGATGCTGCCTTCAGGTGAGGTTCAGCCTAGGACCTTGGCTGTGGGCAGGGAGCACTCAGGAACGTGCACCCGGGATGGACTGGGGACTTGTTGGGCCTGGCTCTCTGCTCCTTCACCTGTCATAGGCGAGGGCCACTGCAGAGGTTGGGAAGGGCTGGGAGCCCGGGGAGCCGAGAGCTGGGGTGCAGGGATGGACTGAACAGTCCCACTTTTTACCAGGAGCTCTCTCAAGTCTCAGGTTCTTGTTGGTCCATGTACTGAAACACTTTTTTATTCTAACCTTCACCTACATGATTGTAGGTTTAATATTTTTTCTTCCCTTCTTTCCTTGCTCCATTGAATGAGCACTTCTACCTGGAGACACTGGTGTACAGGGCTGCTGGGACAGACACCTCTCCTGCAAGTGCTCACACCTGGCCCTAGGTCAGCCCGTTGGTGTTGGAGCATGTGGGAGCATGCAAGACTCTAGAGGCAGGGCCAGTAGCCTGCCCAGGGAGAGGAGTCTAGGCTGCTGCACTCAGTCTGCATGGCCCTTGGTGGCTCCTGGTGTGGGGTCTTTCCTTGCTGCCAAGGGGCCTGTCCAACCTGCTTGTCACACCAGTCAGAGGCATGAGGAAGCTGTTCATCTGGGCACAGTTATTTGTCCCTGGCCTTCGTTAGTTTGCATCGCCATAGCTGTCCCCGAGCCAACCCAAAGGGGTACTGAGACACAAGGCCACCTAAACCACAGGCAACGGCTGCTTTCGGCTGGCCTAGGTGGAAGACCATGCCCAAGTGAGTTGACATTTGCAATTGTTTGTGTCTCATCTGTCTCAAGCCATCTGTGGGTTTCCACTGAGGCTGAACCAACCCCGCTATTGGAAGTAGAGCCACATGTGCGTGGACAGCACAGCCACCTGGTGACATCAGGAAGGGGCCATGCACAGGACTCCCAGCTTTCACAGATCTGGTCACAGTAGGCAAAAGAAAATTAAAATTCTGAGAATTCTTTCAGCTACAAATTCCTCTTCATCATTTTTCAACGTTTTCTGGTTATCAACCCTCCCTTCCTGAGGTGGCCGGGAGCTTTTGTTGGGGGCATTTCTTGTGCTAATTGTGGGTTCAGAGCTGCCATTGTCTGTCAGACAGTCTTGTGTCCTTAAGCTGAGGGTTCTGGGGACACAGATATGTGAGACAGGTACACTGAGTCTGTAGATGGTTAGCACCCAGGAATAAAAAATAAAAATTTATTGAAAGTCTCTTTTTTGAGTGTTGGGATCATGGATTCTTTTTATGCCTGTTTTTTTTGCTTAATTAAATATTCCTAATCTGTAAATATTTAAATTTTTCTGTTGGAGGAGAGAGATAATTTAATTACTGTGGTAGATTAATGTAAGAAACTGTGAAATAATACACAAGAACCAAAAAAGATATTCACCTCCCTTGCATGGTGATTTTCTCCATGTGATTTATCCCAAAGAATAATTTAGCAGGAGCAAAATGCTGTATCTATGGAAAAATGTTTGTCATTAATAGTAAAGTTGGACATGAGCCGAGTGCCTGGGCTGGACCTGGCTGCTACACTGGGGGCGTCTACCCAGCAGGATGTGCATGGCCCTGAGATGGCAGTCATGACAGTGTGCAGAGGGAGGGGTGTGGACCTGGTATGACATTCAGAGAATGGGAAAGCCGACGGTGGTGGCTTTCATGTGGACAGGGTTTGGAGGCAGATGCAGGAGTGAGAGATGTACACAGAGCTTAGGATGCGGATCCCTCCCCTGCCTCCTACGGGTCCCCGCCTTCCCAAACCTGTAACAGCAGCAGAGGCTCTACGTGACACGCCCCCAACCTCCCGGTCTTCACATGCAGTGATTTCATGATGTCAGCTAAGTCCCCAGACTGTCTGCACTCGGTTTTCTGGCTTGTCAACTGGCAGTCATAGCACCCACACCCACCTACACTGGGGTGCCTGAGGGTCAAAGGCAATGACTGCCTGGACGGCTTTCCAAACGTAAGCCCCTGTCTTTGTCGAGGAAGTGTCCATAACCCCCACATTTCCAGCAGCAACACCGCCCTGTAGGCTGGTGTCATGCCCTGGCTGCAAATTAAGGTTACTTTGGGCATCTTCTTAATTTTCAAATCTTCCCTTGCATTTAGCATTCATAGAGTTATGAGATGTCAGAGCCAGAAAGAAAACCAACAGTGCTGTGCCCCGTCCTCTCCCTCGGATCACGCTGGGCCACAGAGGCCAGGACGGAGCTGCTCTCTGCTCCCACTCAGCCCAGCACAGCCACCCTGGCATCCTGCCACTCAGTGAGCGATCCACCTGTGGAGTGTCGGTGCTCAGGTGCACTGGGTGATGGTAGATGGACCTCATGGATGACACACTCCTGTTTGGGTACCTGAGGACTCGGTCCGAGGCCTGGTTGGACTTGGACACATCGCAGCTCTGGTGTTTTTCTTGGGCCTTTGCCAGTTTCTCTGCTGCAGCAATAGGGCATCCAGAGAGGCTGCAAGTGCAAAAAGGGGGTTAATGTCTGGTCACAAAGGGCTTCACAGCACCCAGTCCAACCACCATCTCCTCTCCCCGGGTGGAGCGCTGAGACCTGACGGGGCAGAACCCAGCAGCCTCCCAAGCCCCTGGGAGTCCTGAAGGGGTGAGTTAGTCATGCCATGTTTTGGCCTGTGTGATTTCCTCTGGGTGTGCATGCTGCCGTGCTGATGGCAGCACCCTGCACCACCCTTCTCGGGAGAGCAGCCTCGTCAGGCGCATTCAGGAGAACAGGAGCGAGGCGCGTTTCAGACATGGTTTCACTGGGGGCTCACACTCCTTCTGGACAGGAGCCTGGACAGCTCGGGAGGGTGCAGCCCTGAGCAGCCCAGGAATGGCAAGGGTGGGCGGGCACCAGACCAAGGAGCACCGAGCCTGTTCTGCAGACATATCACCTGGGCTTTCGCCAGTCAGTCTGACCTTTGCACTATCATGTTCTCCGAAGAGGGGAAAATGAGAGGGAAGGAGGCGGAGTAATCTCCAGGACTGCACAAAAACATTTTTTAGACTAAACTGCTCAGGCTGGTCAACCTGGAAGGAAAGGAAGCGGGCTTTCCTGTTTGAACCACTTCCTCCAGAGAGTACGTGTGTCCACGGGTGTGGGCACCTGTGCTTTCTGACACAGAGGCACTGAGGGTGGCTGAGGAACTGCTCCATGAGCGCAGCCTGGCACAGCACCCAGCACCAGCTCACCCTGCGCCATGTCCTCCTGCACGTGAAGCACAGAACACCTCTGACGGGCACAGAGCGGTGCTTTGTTCATTGTGAATTTAACAGAAGTGAATAAGTTTGCCAGCCACACAGGAAGGGTTGGGGTGAGGCTTACTGCTTCCTCTCCAAAGACAGTTCTACGTGAGCTTGAAGCTCACACCACAGCCAGAAACTGGGCTCGGCAGTCGCTTTTCTGCACTGAGGACACGAGGCTATCTGGTATGAGCTGAGTATTGTGAGGATGGCGAATCACCAAGCTCAAGAGAACAGGAGGAAGCCGGGGTTTGCTGTACGCTGAGGACGTGTCCACAGAGCAATCGTCCTGCAAGAACTACCTACGGGAGCACCCCTTCCCCTGCCCTGAGCAGCACTAGACACCTGCACAGACTTTAGCCACGTCCATGCTGACCTGGGGTCTCGGCAGAGTGTCAAGGGCCACCAGGGTGAGTCTCACATGGCACAGGGTCACCAGATTCCAGTCCATGTTCCTGTGTGGTGAGCAGCGGATAGCCCGCACATACCTGGGGATAATGGACCCTGGGTCTCCTCTAGTCACCATAAGGGTCCCTCACACTCTGCAGGGTGCCCTGAAGGGCTGTTCCCCATTATGACAAGGTGGGTAGACAACTAAAATATCCGTCTCCCTGCAGGGCGGCCGAGCCTCGGCCCTCCATGCTCTGTGGACTCCACTCTGTGCCCTTTAGAAGCAAACTGTGAGGACATGAGGGGCTGGTGGGGCAAGTGCTCCCAGGGTGGGGGTCCAGCAGGTGTGCCTTACCTTCTGTGGGAGTTCCTGTTGCTATTCACATGCCCTCGCCCTGTGCAGCCTGGAGTGGGACACTTGAGAACATTTTCATGCATGGCAAGAACTTGACAAGGAGAGGCAAAGAAAACAGCCCATCATTAAAACAGGGAAATGTCAGAATTCAAGAACATGCAATCATTGTACAGAGGCTGGGCTAGTCTAGACACACAGGCCTAAGAACGTCCGTGATGAGCATGATCAGGAAAACACAGGTCAGGAGAGAGAAGGTCGTCTGCACTGCACTGATCGGCAGGCGAAGCAGAGTGCGCTGGCCAGGGGCAGAGAGCGCGACCCTGAGCAGCTCCAGGGGCCGGGGAAGCCCCACGTGAGCGCTGGGCGCCAGGTAGCGGTGTCACAGCACGTAGACCTGGCATGTCAACAGCACACCTGGGCTTGGAGACAGTGCTGAGGGCAGTGGCTAGCTGAGCAGAACCCTGGGCTGCAGTTTTAAGGATTGGATCAAAGTCTCTCCGTGTAGGAAAGAAGCAGTGACCTATTCTCTAGGCAGGATGAACAGCAGAGTGAGAGGGGCAGAGAGACAGCGCCTGGGGTGAGGCTGCCGTGAGCCGCAGAGCTGTGTGGACTGACCAGCAGGGCCCCGCCCTGCCTTGCCTATGTCCCTCTCCTCCAGCCCTCAGGGTCCACTCGGCTACTCTGCATCTGGGGAGCTCATGGGGTTCAAGAGCTGGGGGCCACACCGGCCTCACAGCCAGGCACCTTGCTCCTCCGAGGGGCCCTCCGCTAAACTCTAGACTGCGCTATGGCAGCTCCTCCGGCCAGCACGGCGCACCGGGTAGGTGGCTGTGCCAGGGCTGCTGGGTCCACTCACTGGCGGCATCACTGTGTTTTCTGTGACTTCCTTCCCCTCTAGTAAGAGCTGCTTTGTCCTGACCTCTGCAGGTCCCTGGACCCTGCAGCCCATGGCTGGGATGTGGCTACTATCGGCATTGACCCCAGTGTGCTCACCACTGGCCACGTTCTTAAACGGAGTCCACTGGCCTTCGTGTGAGAGCTGTGGCCCAGGCTCAATGTGCAACAGCAGAACAGCGAAGCCACCTCCAGTTGATTTGGTGGTGGGAACTGGCCTGGGGTCACGGGTTTCTTTCTGGGGAGATCTAGACCCAAGGGCTCCTCTCAGGGGTTCCTTACTGTTCAGTCAGCTCCTCAGGCTGCAGACTTCCTGCCCCTGCCCTTCCCTCCAGGACTCAGACAGCCCCTGTCACCAGTCATCATGGCTCCCTGATGCCACTTCCCTTTTGCACCAACACATGCCTCTCCCCCACCTGACGCCCAACCTTGCTGGGGGTGGTGCCCTCCCCCAGGCCTGACCATGTCAGTCTCCTGTTGAGCGAGATGCAAGCCCCTTGCACATCTGCACTGTATCGAGATCTGGGGGCTCTCTTTGTTCATGGGCAGCCTTGGAATCCATCTGAACAAGGGACCTCCCTGCTCTGCTCCCGTCTAACGCTGAGGTCTCGACAGGAGACTCCGATCAGCAGGCCAGCAACCTCGGCAGGCCTGCCTCCTGGGCTTCCTGGGCCTCGGCGTCCCTCCACATATGGGGCTCTTCAGAGGAGCCAGCTTTCCTGGTTTTGATCCCTCGGACCTCCCTTCCACCTGCTGCCCTCCCTCTGCTTCACCTGGCCACGGGAGAGAGGCCACAGCTCCCCTGCTGGGACCGCCCCTGCTGGCTCCCCCACGTCCTCTCCCTGAGTGGCACGTTCTCCCTTCGGAGGAAGGGTGTCCTCCAGCTCTGTCCTGTTGTCCCTTTGAGCCTGCCCTCGGGCCATGGGTACCTCCAGGTGACCTGCTCGCCCCTCCTGTCTCCGTTCTCGCCTCCTCCAGGCCCCCTCCCCGTCTTCCTTTGCCCTCAGCGTCTTGCTCCCAGCAGCCTGTCCCTGCCCACACTCTGCCCACTGCCACTGTCTCCTCCATGCCCTGGCCACGTGTGACCCCAAAGCCTTCTTCTCTGCCCATGCAACCCTGGAGCAGCACCTGGGGTCCCAGGTCCAGGCCTGGAGATGCCCAGTCCCCACAGTGCCCAGCGTGGCTGCTGGTGGGCACCGGGCAGCCATGGGAAGCACTGTCTGGGCCAAGCCCGTGTCTCTGCCAGGCTGGGAGCTCCCAGGACTCAGAACCTCTTCTCCTCCTGTGGCACAGTCTCTGTGGTCCTCCCAGGGTGAGCAGAACTATGCTGAACTGGGCTGTGCGGGAGTAAGGGAAGCCAGTCCAGCAGGAGAGGCCCGGCAAAGACTCACGCAGACCTGCCCTTCCTCAGGCTCACGTCATTCCTGGCTTCTTAAAGACCCGTCCACAAGCAAATCCACAGCAAGGCTTTTCTGTGCATGAGCTGGAGAATGTTCCTGGACAGGGTCAGCCTCCTCCTGCTAAGGTGACACCCCATGTGCCCCCACTTCCTCCTGTATGGTGGCATTGCCCTAGCCCCCACTTCTTCCTGGTAAGGTAATACCCTGGGTGCCTCTAGTTTCTCCTGATAGGGTGACATCGCCCCATCCCCCACTTCCTTCTGCTCAGGGCACACCACCCCAGGCCCCTCCTCCTCCTCCTGCTCAGGGGACACCACCCCAGGCCCCTCCTCCTCCTCCTTCTCAGGGGACACCACCCCAGGCCCCTCCTCCTCCTCCTGCTCAGGGGACACCACCCCAGGCCCCTCCTCCTCCTCCTGCTCAGGGCACACCTCCCCCGCCCCCTCCTCCTGCCCAGGCACCCCACTTCTCTGACACAGGTGGAGACAGGACTACACCCTGCAGGGTGGCAGGACACGCCCACATCCCTGCTCTGTCTATTTGGAGGTTTCTCTGGAGATGTGGGCTTAGGAGGAGGAGCTGGCCTGCCCTGAAGCGAAGCCAGAGGCCTGAGGGGAGATGGCAGGAAGCAGCTTTCTGCTTAAATCCCCAGAGCTTGGTCCTAGCACCTGTTTGTAGATGAGGAAAGCAGAGGACAGCACATGCAGCCTGCCTGTCGGGCTTGAGAGGACGACCAGACAGAGGGTGTGGGCCGGACAGGATCTATGGCCTCGCTTAGTCTTGCATGTAGGCCAGTTAGTGTCTGTCTGCTCAGGTTGACTGTGGAGACATGGCACTCCCTCAGTTTGCCAGCCACTGCTAGTCCCTGGACAGAGAAGCATGATGGACACCCTGATTCTCGTTTTCTTCATTGGAAACCAGGGCCAACACTACCTGCAGGGTCCATGGCTTGAATGAATTAGTGTTTGTGGGTGTGAGCCCAGCACCCGCCCCCAGTGTGCTCAGCACGTGGAAGCCGCTGTTGTAGACCATGCCGTCTCCCTGCTCATGTAACACACGGGATTGTAGCCAGACACCGAATTGGCTTTTCCAGGACTCTCTTTAACCTGGACACAGTTGCAGCAAGCTAAGCTGACTTTTCTCAGTAGCCATCTGAACACCTGGTGCCTCGGGCATCTGTGTCTCCCTGCCGCTCCAGCAGGCTCGCCACTCAGGGACCACAAGGTCACCCATTTTAGTTGGACTGGTCTCAGAATTCCTCCAGATCATTGACTGGTCATCCTGCCATGTCTCAACCATCACAGTTTTCCTGCCAGAAACTGTCTCAGGTAAGAGGAGAACCCTCCATATGACTGAGACTTAGAGTCAGGATCTTAAACTTACTCTTTTCAGAAAATGTGCCTGTTTCCTAAACTGTTAGTTCCTCTGGCTTTATATAGCTGGCATATTTAATTGATGAAAGATACATAATAAGGAGGTGTATACCATTTCAGTTTTAAATGAAATATAGCTTTTCACAGATTGAGTCCATATTATCAGAACCTAACTATTAAGAACTGCGAAAGATCAAAACCCACCCAATTTAAACCTCCTTATTTCAGGTCTTCTAGTGTGGAAATGCTGGTACATTTATGCTGACAAGTAAAATGAGGCACAACCTCTTGTCTAAATGATGATGGGATGATGTATCCATGTCCTGGGCAGGAGGAATCTCCAGGCCCCTTCTCTTGGGGAGGCAGAAGAGGCCAGCGCCGTGGATGGGTATCTCAGACACTATCTGGGTTCTCTAACTGTGAGACGCAGAGGCAACTTGCCTGGGGTCTCCAAGGAGGACTGAGTTGGGACCAAACCTGGTTCCAGAAAGGGGGCTGTAGAGGGCTACTCCGGGGCTGGTCTAGCAAGAGCTGGCACCCAGGAAGCATGGGGGTTGGGGGAGCAGGCTCCCTGTCCCCCACTCCTCCTGGGGCGGCCCGTCAGGGTCAGCGGGAGCCTGGTGAGCTGTGGCCACATTGAGCCGTAGAATGGAAATGATGTCAGGTCAGAGGGATGGTAGAGACAGAGCCGTGTGCTAGCACTCCAAGGGCAGCGGTGAGCTGTGCACTTACTTTCTGGAGGGACCCTATCTTTGTGCGGGCATCCAGACAGACTGCGGTGATGCGGGTAAAGCCCAGTTACATGGCCGGTTCCATCACACCCGGGGGTTGGACACTTGCTCTCTTTCTTTTCTGTTCTTGAGGGATCTAAAAGCGACAACAGGTTCCAAAAGAATGAACGTTCACCAACCGAAGACAAATGTGATCATTCAACAATCCCAAGAGACCTTTGCTAAATCAGAGGCCAGCAGGTGTCAGGGCACAGGCTGCAAACACCATGCTTTGGCTAGGGTAGGCTATTGTTTTAGGTGATTGTTCAACCTTATGCAACATGATAACGAATCAGAAAGTATTTTAGTTTTTGTCCTAAAGAAAGAAAGAAAGAAAGAAAAAACCCCACCCATTCCCCATCCCTAACCTTAACTCTTGATTGATTGGTTTCCCGTGTGTTACATGATAAGCTGTGTTGCTCAAATAAATCAACGTAAACAGTGATGAGACAGTGGCCTTCTTAGAGAACAAGACTCCACACCGTTTTCATTTGACAGTCTCTCTGTGAAATTCAGCCAAGAGTGTGACTCAGTCCCCAGCTCTTCAGCTGAATTTCTTCCTGTTGGGAGCTCTGGTGGCACACACAGGCAGCAAAACGCGGCTGCTCTGGACTTTGCTCTTGAGGCTAATCACTCTGTTTCTTAGCATAGCAATTCAGCATGTTTTGGAAAATAAACTGAACTCTCAGAAGGCACTGTAAGCAGATGACCAAACGGTGGCGATCCCACCTGCAGAGGTGATGGGCAATCAAAATGCTTCAGAAGCTGCTGGAGCAACCCTTTGTTCTGATTTCTCCATGTGTGCTTGGAACCAGAAGGAGGCTCGTGTGATGCCGTGCATGCATACACAAAACCAAGAGGTGATGCTTCTCTAGAGCCCTGTGGGCTTCTCTGCAGTACAGTCAAGGGCCAACTAGAGCAGAAGTCTGGTCCAGAATCAGATGCAGATGCCAGAGATGTAATGACATTGCTAATTTAATTTTTTCTACACCCAGAACTGACCACAGCACAGAACTTTGCAGCATAATAACTTCAGAGTGTTTCAGAGGCCACACTTAGACCAAACAGTAAGTCTAACCAGTGATACACTATTTTTAGTCCAATTTTGAAAACCAGTTGCACAGATCAATATCAATAGATGTGGCTCTTGTGATTTGGTCCAGAGAAGGCTCTAGTTAAATTTTCTTCAGGGGTTTAATTCTATTATATTATATTAATTCTATTATATTATTCATTAGTCAGGCCAATCATAATTGTTTTAGTTAAGAATTCACTTCCATCAAGAGAAAAAAACTTTTGTTTTAAAACATTGAATGCTTCTGAACTTTCTTTTTAAGCTATTTATGTGAACTGAAGTAGAAGAGGAGTCACAGGACCAATAATGTCCCTGTGGTGACTCCCTTTCTTGGGCGGCTAGAGTGCTCGTCTCCTAGTGGGCCTCTCAGGTGCTGGGGCCTCCTGAGCCAGGGAGGTGCCAAGGGAGACCCTCCCCTTGATCTGTCCTGCCACCGTGCAGGCAGCTTGGAAACCCACCCAATGGTGTGTGCTGTGGCGTGGTCCAGCTTCTCATGACCTGGTCAAGGCCTCTCTTACACCTGCAGACTGAGAGCCTGGCAATTTTACTACCTTGGAATGATTCCGCAAGAATATTGGTATAATTTAGTCAATCTAAGTATAAAATAGCAAGTGCCTAGTAAGAGTTTCAGAGAAAATAATTGATTAAAATCATAAGCTGGAGATAAAAGATTAATAACTAGATACAGATGACTTGCAGAAGATAAAAATCCGATGGCTATTACTAATCACCAAGTATCTATTTCATAGGACACTTAAGACCTCTCACAAATTATATTATTTCAAGATTTGGAAAGCATTTTGAAATTAAGTATAGGTTTTTATAAAAACAAGGTATGTCAAAATTATCCGCATTTTGGAAGACAACAAGCGTATAATCTCCTCTCGATGCATGGGGTCCAGTTGAGGTGGGATGTGCTACCTGCCTTTGCCATCACCTCCCCTGGATTTCTTACTTTGTACAATTGCAATTCATCTTAAAAGCAAACGTGGAAGCCAACACAAGACAACTGAGCAAGCAGAGAGACCAAAAATCAACTAGAAACCTTGCAACAAACAAGAGGAAACAAATTGTGAGTGCACTTAGCTTGCTGGGGTAGAACAGGTGATGGGCAGAGGACAGAGGGGGTCATCGTTGGCTTCTTTTGTATTAGCTCAAGATTTGGAAACTGACACATTAAATCAGTTTGAGGACTGTGGACAATGAGAATTGATACAGTATCCTCCCATCTTTACTGCAGTGACAGCCCCTGAAGACAGACGGAAGACCTGCTAGGCAGTTGCCGCAACTGTCATCAATGTGTTGGTGAGATCTGATCCCTTGACATTTTTTCTTTTAAAGAGAGCCTTAATCTCTTTGTTCTCCTTCGTTGGCCTTAATCGGCTTTACTTATTTAGCTCTGAATGTTTACATGGAACAATATAGAAAATGCTGGTAGAAAATAGAAATGACTTGTCAGGGGCAGATTGGAAAAACTGGGAGAGGGAGAAACTGATGCCTCCCACCTTATAGGAGCGCCCAGGCCCCAGTCCTTCTCCGTCTGTGGAGAAGCACAGCTCAGTTTTCACCGTTCATCCCCAGCCACCCCCATGTTCACAGGGGAAGCAAGTGCTTTATATTTCATTTCTTTCAAAAAGCAAAGCAAAACAACAACAAAACTAAATGACTCAAAATGGGCATAAAGCAGCCGAGTTTGGAGGCCACAGACACAGAGCAGCCACGGCAGCCCAGACTCTGAGACACATCCTCCATGGCCATGTGGCTGCAGAGGACCACTGTGCTACCCAGAGTCAGCGCTCATCCCGAAAGCCCCGACTCAGCACCGCCCAGACTGCGTGGGCCACAGAGCGGTCACAGGGGCAGAGGCACTCCTCGCTGGAGTGTGGGTTCTCCTCAGCTTCTCAGAGACTCAACGCACCATCCTAAGAGATGGTCTGGCACATCTTGTTCACAGTGACAGCCCTGTCCTAAAACATGCAGGCTGTGGTCCCTCTGGAAGGTCATGCCCCTTGGCCACCTCCCCACCCTGCGGCCCAGCGTTGTGCTTCAGCAGCTGGAAGGGCTGTCGGCCCACCACCTGCCAACCAGGAGTGCACAGATCTGGCTAAGGCTCATCTCAAGTTTGGATATGCTTCCAGCAGTGCCCAACTCGCCACAGAAATCATACGCACACATTGAGAGGAGAGTACACACCGATGTCACAGCAGAAAAAATGCAGTTTTTCTGATTGAAGTTTACACAGCAACTGATTTTCAAACTACATTCTTAAACTTCATTATCAGATCCACAGTGAGGAAACTCAGAATTTGTAATGCGCAGCATAAAGTGACAAACCAACAGAACAGATACATTTTTGGTGCTAATAAAGTAGGCTTTAAGGAGTTACCAATTTCATTCTTGAAATTGATTCTTGCTTTGTTCTAAAAGAAACTTGAAAATGAGCAAATAGACAACACCAGACCCCTGCGTGAGGCTGTGTCATAACCTGCCTCAAAGTGGACACTTGCTTCTACAAACACGAGTATTCATTCAGGTCGAGCATGTATATATTTACTATATATATGGGAAGTAGGTATATATAGTTAAATATATAGATAAATGCCATAAGCGCCTGCATTTTTCATGAGGAGAAATTGAGCTAAAACTATCGTCCTGGATAGTCTTGAGCGTTTTATAATAAATCATATTTGAGAAAACACCGCAATTGCTTCCTTAGTGAAATGGAATCAGTGTGTGGGGGGGTGCCCTAAAGAACGTGCTGTTGGTCTCGGCCGAGGCCACCGGGGCTGGCACAGCCAGCAGCCTCTGTCCCCTGTCTCTCCCAGGGAGCTCATGGGCAGCCCTGGCCCTTATCCTGTGTCCTGGGTCACCCTGCTGCTGCTCAGTTTGTCGGGGTGCTGCTCTGGGGGTGTGTCTCCAATGGGTGTCGTCGGATGGCAACTTATGTACTGTAGGGCCACCTCCCAGTCCCGTTTGTGAAATGTGCTTTGTTCTGACGGACTAACCAGCACTCAGTCCCTGGCCTTTCCCAGGTCCTTGTTCCTCTGCAGCGGCACGGGCTCCCAGCGCCTTCTACCTCGGGCGTGTTTACGCACCAGCCCTGGCCTCTCCAGGAATGCCTTCGTACTCATCTGCTCTAACAAGGGGACACTGAGCTTTATGCATTTCCCAGACAAATATTCCATTTGCTCTTCAGAAGCATCATCACAAAATATAATTCTGGCACCAACTCTGGAAGGGGCCTCAGAGACGGGACTTAGTGAGAGGCAGACTGTAATCGAGGACCATCACCAACACCTTTTCTTTAGCTCATGTTTCCATGAGGCAACTTACGTTAGGTAGAAATATTACCTTTACCATAGTATGGCTTTTTGACATGGCTGTCACTGGACCTGGGCTTCCTGTCCTCCCCGGGAAGCTGTCTGGGAGACTGGTCCTCGTACGACCTCAGAGTGTCCCTCCTCCCGGCGTCCATGGCCATCTTGTCCCTCATGGCCTTGGCCCTCTCGGTTTCCAGGGCGATGGCCTTCTCGAGGAGCGTCAGGTTGCCCTTGGTCATGTCAAACACCTCCTCGGACCTGTCCGAGTTGATGGAGGTGGTGTCGTCGTCCCTCTCCTGACACCCGTCCTCCTTGGCGCAGCTAGAGAACGTTCTGGGCCTGGGGCTGAGCTGCTCCTCCAGCCGCATGAGGTTCATCATGTCCGAGTAGCTCCGGTCAGGTGTCCTGCCCGGGAAGTCGTCCTCCGGCCGGCCGTGCGGCCGGGCGCTGGCGCTGGGCGGGGGGCCCCGGTCCTGGGGCTCGGTCTCGCTGAGCTTGCGGGCCAGGTCGAAGCACTGGTTGCGCAGGCACTCGAGGCTGCTCAAGCACACCTCCTCCTCGCTGTCCTCGCCCAGCCTCTCGCCCAGCCCGTTGCTCACGGGCTTCCCCAGCACCACGTAGTTCACGCTCCTGCTGTCCTGCGGCGCCATCCCCTCCGCGTGGCCGCGGTCACCGATGCCGTCCGAGAGCACAACGCCGTGGCCCTGCGCCAGCAGCTTCAGGGAGTCCACGGTCTCCCTGACCACGTCGCTGTCCAGGTCCAGGCTGAGCTCGCCCTTGCGACTGAGGCTCTCGCTCTTGCCGCTCCCGTCCTCCAGGCTGTTGGAGGTGTTGCTGTTCATCTCGGACTCGGTCCGGGCGCGGTGTGCTGCGTCCTCGGCGATCTTGCCCAGGTTCAGCAGCGACTTGGCCACCAGCTCGTCGTAGTTGTCATACTCCTCGTTATTGTTGTCGTCCTTCTCCGCATCCTGCAGCATGCGTGGGCCGTGGCGGCTCATCTGAGGGTCTTCTGCAAAGGAAACAGAGAAGACAAAGGGAAAGAAAAGAGAGGTAGCTAGAACTGGGAGTTCAGGGGCAACCGCAGGACACAGCATGGCCAGGCAGGCCCTTGCGTGGCCCAGAGCAGGCCCTGGCTGCTTCTGGTCACACGTTCACAGGAGGGAAGTGAGGGGGCCAGGTGGAGCGAGGCCCTTGGAGCATCCCCCGTGGGCTGCTAGTCCCCCGAGTCAGTCTGAGACCAACCAACACACATGATAAGCACAGCGTAAAACAGACATTCCCACTTCTGAGGTTCAAGATTGGCCTGCTGTCTGCACAGGTTTACTTATGCGCAGCCCGGCAGCTGAGTACTGACGGGATCCACCTTCTCGCCACACTTCTCAAGAGCTCATGAACTCTTGTTTTGCCAACTCTTAAACAGCTGTTCTCAGCAATTGCTTTTAAATGGTCTATTTCTGCAGTCACACTCAGGCGACGGGGAGGGGAGCCTGCTGTTCTGAGGACCCCGCAGGCCCCTCCACGGGGAACTCCCATCAGATACACCCATGATGGGGCTGCACTAAGAGCGATTCTGAGTCCAATTCCTTCCAGGGACTTACATGCCACAGAGTGAAGCCACAGGAACCCCACAGCACAAGTGTGAGGGGAAACCCGCAGGACTGCACCCTACTCTCCGCAGGCCTGGGCAGAGGGAAGGGCCTGGGAGGAGCTGGGCACTGTGTGCCCTGTGGCTGGCACTCGCCGTCACACTGCAGACAGTGCTGCCAGGTCTCCCACCACGGCCACAGGAAACCTGGGGCAGCTGGAAGGAATGACGGGAAGATGGGTGTTGTGTTCAACCTGAAAACGTGTTTAGGGAGAATTTCCAAAACAGGCCACATCCAACATGCGTCCAGCCCCTCTACTGAGAATCACACTCTGTTAACACTCAAAGAACATTTGGGATTTGTATCTCTATTCGCCTTTCCACGTAAATGATGTTGTGTGGGTTGCAAAACAGATAACACATGGCTCTCGAGTGCACCCCCTCGGGTTGATTTGGCCACTGTTTCCCATTTCCACGTCTCTTCTTTGTTTCCATGACCAAAATACCAGAGTGAGAAGAATTTTTAACATTAGTAATGGCTTGGGGGATGAGAAAATGCCAGGTGACTAAAGCTGAGATACTGAACTCTGGTACTTGGTTTATGGATTGTATGTTAGTGAAAAAAGATTTGGAGCTCAATAGAGACTAACCCCCTGGAGTCAACAGATAGCTAAGATCTGCATCCCAACACTGAGAGCCAAATGCACCAGGTCAAATGGAGCAGATGCCGTCTCTCTTCCGGACCACTCTACGCATCATCTCCCTTATTACAAGATGATGTATCCCCAAAGAGCAGCAGAAGGAAAGGACACCAGACCAGGGAACGCCATCGGAAACATGGCGGCAGTGCCACCCTCATGCAAAGCATGCTGTCAGCCTCGGTTCAAGCTTTAGAACCAAGTCAAGCCTGTTCTAAGGACTTTGGGAACACCAGCTTTACATTCTTCTCTCAATTTACCCACATCCTCGCGCTCACAGCTATGACTGGAGAAGCGCCCTGGGGAATGCCAAGTTGGCGGCTTCTGCCCGCTGACCCTGGTGGCTGTCCTGCACCCCTGGACCACACGATGAGTTCCTAAGTCCTGGTTTGAAATTGCGAATGCACACATGGCAGGTGGAAGCATTTTGGAAGTTGAGTCAAAGAAGGAACCGCAGCCAGGTGAGACCTACGATTTCCCTGGCCACCTCCATGAGTTCTCCTGGGAAACTAGTCCTCCTGTCTTGGAGAATTTTGAAAAGCAGCAGGTGTTGACAGTGGATAACAGACAAGGAAACCTATCTGCCCCGTGCACTCCCCACAGCCTTGCAGAGCCACACTGGTCACCAGACGGTGGCCCAGACTTGAAGGTCCGTCTTCCTACCACTGCAGTAGGGATGGGACGGCCGCTCTCCTGTCTTCGCCTTAGTTACTTCAAGTTACCTGTCTTCCCACAGCGTCTCTGGGCTGAGGAGTCCGGCTCACCTTTTGATAATGAGGTGTCTGTCAATCTCACCACTCAGGCCGCATCACCTCCTCTCAAGAAAATTCAGAGATGAATGGATGAGCTTCCTCACACAGCCGCATGGCCACTCTGATGGGTGAAGCCTGAGAAGCTGGGACAGGGCCCTCCCATGGGGAAGTGGGAGAGTCTGGGGCACTTCCCATGGGAAGAGGGAGAGTGTGGCCTGCCTCCCACGTGAGGTTCCACAGCACAGTGCACTGTGCCTTGGCCATCATGTGACAACGAGCAGGAAAGGAGGAGTCACCTGACCAGGTCCCCAGAGGTCCTCTGCTGCTTGTGCCTGTGTGAAGTGGGGACGTGGGCATCCGGAGCCTTGGCAGACCTCTGGTAGGTGGGGACAGAGAAACCGCCAGGACATCTCTTGTGAGAGTTGTGTTGTTAGGAAGCACTGCGTGGCCTCCTGCCCCCAGAAGCCTGGCACACATGGCTGCTGGCCTTGTCACACTGCCTTGTCCCAGTGCACCCGACCCCTGAGCAGGAGGGGGAAACCAGCACACTGCAGAAGGAGCCTGAAGTCAGGCCACAGGATGTGCATCTGTGCACACTGCTGCTGTGGGGTGTGGCTTTTCAAGTTCCTAGTGCTCAGGGTCGTCCATGGCCAGGAGTCCTTGCAGGTCACCAGAGCCTCTCCATCACCACTATCTAACTGCTCTGAAGCACATTCAGAAAAAGGCAGGTCTTCTCTGTGTAGACTAAGGGAGGGGCAGTTGCTCATCAGCAAGAGGATGTGCCTGGGCCTGGGCGTGGTGAGATTCAGGACCGTTCACTGGGAGCTTCTGGATCTCTGCCTCTGGTTTCTGCATCCAGGCAACTTACATGGGGAGTGGTTTTTGCTGAACTAACGTGAAATGAGTGACATGCATACCTGGCCTTTGGCAGATAGAGCACAATTTCCTGTGCCATTCGGGATTAAAAATGCAGTACAAATCATCCACAAAGCGGATATCAGCCATGAGAATTTCTTGAGTCAGCTACTAGTTTCCATCCAGTAATTCATGTTCCACCAAATAACACACTTGTGATGAGAAGAGCACTGTTTTCAGAGGGTCAAAGTGCGCACTCCTGCTCTAGGAAAAGGAGCGTGACCCCTTGGAAAGGGTCCAGAGAATCTCATGCCACTGTCTTCCCTTGTGGAGTTGTGCCTTTTTAATCTGTCATCCCCAAAGTGCCAGAGAAAACAGACTGTGTAGGGTGGTCACCTCTCAGGGCACCAGCCCAGGCATTGGCACTGGGGACTGCAGAAGTTTCATCCTGGGATGGCCATCGGAGACGGCCTGTCCAGCCACTTCCAGACCACAAGCCCAGAGAGCAGAGATGACGGTGACGAAGCACAGAGCCTGTCCTGCGCCTCCCCAGCGGCCACAAACCTGTGACTGCTGTTACATGTGCGCTTTCGACCCACAGAGTTGTATGACATGCCGTGGGGCCACCTTATTTCCGAGCCAGCTTGCTATGTGCCATCCCTGCCACCCACACATGGTCAGGCAGTCTGGAGATTTTCCTAAGAAAAGTATAAGATCCTTTGGGTGTTTTGCCTCCATCCTCAGGACGAGTTCGTGGCCACAGCTCTGTGGACCCAAGTTTATGAACACAAGCAGTGGCTTCTGAGCAGTTTGTTTCTAGGAAACATGCCTGACACAGCTTTGGAGACACATCTGGTCCAACCGAGTCACTGTGTTCCTTCTAGTCACTACAATAGGCTACCGTCAAGCCGGTACTAACCACATCAGGGTGGACACCACCACGGGCTGCCAGGCCGAGGAGGCCTGGTGTGAGCCTTACCGGCGCTTCAAGCCACGGAAGCCTGCTGTTCCACTGCACTGGAGAGGTGCCCACTTATCTACGGGAGGGAGAGTGGCAGCCATGCTTCCGACCTGTGAACTGTGGACCTATTGCAGTGATAGGAAAGAAACAGTGGCACAGGTCACACACGTCACATAACCATGTCACATGGGGAGGGACACACAGGCTGCACGTGTCTGTGTTCAGTAAGTGAAATCTGTAAGCTGGACTTCAGCGCAGCTCACCAGGTCTCCTGGCGAGAGGAGATCTGTCTGTCCTCACTGAGGCATGTGAGGACCTTCTGAGAGGCCCTGAGCCTGCTGCTCCTTCTGACAGAGGACAACACAAAGCCACACCGGGCGAGGGACTTCTCAAGTCACCTGCTGTCCAGAGACAGCTGGGATGACACGCTGGATTCTGGGGGTGGCGCTGCACCACCGTGCAGCCCGCCTGTTTCCACGGTGACCAGACTGCAGCGCCCTCCCCACCAGGGCCAGGGGCTCTCGCAGCACAGCCAGCAGGTCATCTGCCCCTCCGAGTACACAGGGTCCCTCCGCCGGCCCCAGAAGCCTCCTTCTGTTTCTGGATTCATCTTCTGATTTCCCCCTTTGGTGCTTCTTGTTGGTGTGGCATGGATTGAGGAGGTGCTGGAATTCCCAGTTACTTAGCCCTGGACCCTATCAGGACCACCTACCAGGACCCTGATGGAGGCAGCTGAGGTCCGTGGTGTGGAGGGGAAATTAGAAAGTCAGGAAAGCCCTGGACCCCAGACCGGGACCAGAGGAGCCCTGGCTGCCAGCTCCAGGTGCCGGCACAGGAAGGGAGAACCTAGCAGGGAGGACGAGGGAAGGCAGGCGAGAGCCAGCCACCTTGGGGCTCTGCTGTGCTGACCCTCTTCCCAACAGACACATCTGCCACTTCTTCAGACCAGGGAAGCAGCTTTGGAACCTCCCTGCAAGTCTCCTCCAACGCTGTGAAGACCTTGGCGTCCCTCCCTGGGTGGTAGGACAGGAACTGCCCAGCTGGTGATGCTCAGTACCACAGCCCCAGCTACATAGGACCCACTTTTGAGCTCCTGCTCAAACTGGGCTCCTCTTCCCGGATGGTTCCTTTGCTTCTCATTTGCTCAGTCAACATAGC